TTTGGTGGTGCTGGAGGTTGAACTCAAGGTCATGCACATGGTAGCCAACTATCATTGAGCTATACTCCCAGCCCTAATTTTTAAAAAATGTTTTGATCCAGTAAGTCATTTACATGGCTCAAACCTATTAAAAATGGCTTTTTCATCCCCATATTTTCTCCCCATCCACTATTCTCATATGCCTATTTTTTATTATTTCTAATATGTTCATCTCCACGTTCCATGTTTAGCAAAAGAGAACATAAAAGGTAGGTACTTACACTTAATATAGTTTGGAAACTACTCCATATTGGTTCATCAAAACCCTCCTTGATCTATTCTATAAAATAATGTTTAATTGTACAAATAAACATCACTCTCTTTGACATTTTTAGAAGTTGAACACTTCAAATAAAGATGAAGCTCTTTTGCTCAAGCCTCTCCAGCTTCCTGCTTGCTTCCACAGCCCTGCCAGAGACTGCTGCTTGCTAAAGGTTGGATCTAAACAGTTCTCCAAAGACCCATGTGTTAAAGACGTGGTCCTCAGCTTGTGGCCACTGAAAAGTGATGGAAACTTTTTTTTATTAGATACAGGGACTCTTCAGACTGATAGTGAGCCTCCTGTCTTAGCCACGACCCCCTCCCCGCAGAGCTGGGATTACAGGCGTGCGCCACTACACCCAGTTTCAGGGTCAACATGGCACATCCAGTATTCTGGGGCTAACACAGCATGTAGTATTGGGGATCAAACTTGGCTCCTTACACTTGCTAGACAGGCACATAGACTGTTGAGTGATCACCCCAGCCCCAAGTGGTGGAAACTTTAAAAGGTGGGGCCACAGGAGAGGTCTTAAGTCACGAGAATATGCCCAGGGGATTGTGGGACCTGGCTCTTTCTTTTCTCTTTCTCTTTCTCTTCCCAGCCATGAAATGAGCAGTTTTACTCCACCAAATGCCTCTGCCATGATGTACTGCCTTGCCACAGGCCCAAACTAATAGGGCCAGCTGATGCTACACTTCAACTTCCAAAACTGTGAATCAAAATAACCCTTTCTTCTTTTTAAGTTATTTATCACTGTTGCAGTAATGGAGAGCTGCCTAACACCGTGTTCATGCCCCAGACCTTTGCATGCACATGTGTACTCCTTTGTGCACACTTGGAGCATGCTTCACAGATGGTATCACATTATATCAGTCAACAGCCAGATTTCTTACTCAACAATGTGTAAGAATCTGGCCATATTGCTAGGGAGCATCTCCCCCATCCTACTTGGAGAAAACCTTCACACACCTTAAAATTCCACTCAAGTATCACCCTCTCTTCAAACTTGTCATAGTGCTGCAAGACTGTAGTCATCCTTCCTAGAGCTGGGATCCTGATGCCCAGGGCTTTTTTCTGTTGCTATAACATCATTCCTGATACTGGATAATTTGCAAAGGGAAGTGGTTTGTTGAGATTACAGTTCTGGAGGCCAGGTAGTCCAAGACCAGGTGGTCACATCCTGTGAGGGGCTCATCTGGTGCTTCACCATAATGTGGTGGAAAAGCTGAATGGTGAACAGACGCATGTGGAAAAGACAAGCACATGAGGCCAGGCTTGCTTGATAACAACCTAATCTCATGATAACCTGCACACTCTCACAAACTCCTTTTAAAAAAGCACTAATGGCTCTTAATCATGTCTCAGAGGCCTCAACTTCTGATATGGTCCTAAAGGCAAACAAATCTGAACATCAGTTTGGGGCAGGACCCAAACCATATTTAAACCATAGCAACATATTATGATGTTCATTAATATGTCCATGGTGTAATAGGGAATTATACAATAATATATGAAGTCTGAAAGTTACATCAAACACTGCTAGAGCAGGTACCTGGGTGAGTATGAACACTTTTGAGAGCAAAGCCCATGTCTTCACTCAACAAACATTAATTGCAGACTTCCTATCTGCTGGACCCTGAGCTCAGGCCTCAGCATAGAGTGCAGGAAAGGGCAATGCAGTCTACTGGTCCATTTTGAATGCAGTATGGAGTTGGTGATTAATGGCATGGTCTCTGTGATCAGGCTGCCTGGATATGGATCCCAGCTCCGCCACTTACAAACTGTGACCTTGTTGATCTTGTCTCTATTTAAAATGTTGGTAATTTTCTCATCATAGATTTTCTGCATTAATTTTGATTTTTAAACCATATTGCATTAACATATTATTTTTCTTGATTACTTAGGTCTTTTTCTCATTCCGTTTAAATTTAGCATCTGAGATGAACACCTCACGTGGCTCACTGTGCTGCCGCCCTTGCCTTATATAACTATTTAACTCCTTCACAGTGTTGTTGAGAAGATTAAATAAACTTGAATATGTGCAGAGCTTAGATCAGAGCTCAACTGATGCGAGGTCTTTATGATGACCATCATGCCAGACACTCAAAGGGCATCTGGTTAGTGTCAGATGATCAGGGAGTGATACATCAGCTACTGCATGCTTAGTATTCATCATCTCTTATAAAAATCTCCACATCAAGCAGAATGTTTGCATAATTCTCTAGGAAATGTATTCCTCTTCATGGCTCTCTTTGCCACATGATGATTTGTTTGGAATATAATCTCAGCATTCTTTTATGAAAGATTTAAAAGTTCTGAGCCGGGAAGTTAGCTCAGTGGACTAAGGCCTGCTCAGGCAAGCACAGGGACTGGGGTTCGATCCTTGGCACCACATGCTGCACTGGCCCGGGCCTCAGGCGTGCTGAGCCAGCCACCAAGACCAGGTGTGGTGGCACACGTCTATAATCCCAGCACTGGGGAGGCTGAGACAGGAGGATCAATATGAGTCTGAGCTGTGTATTGAAACTCTGTACCAAATACATAAAAAATATAAATAAATAAAAATTAAAAAATAAAAGTTCTTTGCTCCAACCAACTCCATTCATCTTTGCTTGTGATCACTTCTACTGCTTCCTCCTGCAAGTTCTCCATGGCTCCAGGATCCCTACCTGGAACCTGAGTTACAAATGTGTCTCAGTTCCTTGTCATTGTGGTCTTCATTGCCTGTGTTCCTCTCATGTTCAATCTACTAATTCAAAGAGGACAATTATAGAAATGGTCTTTTGAGGATGCCCCTGTCAGTGCAAATCCGTGGAGTGCTGCCCTGGTAGTCCTGCCTCCTTCCTTTCTTATGATTGTCTAACTCATAGCCATCTATCTTTAAGTCTTCATTCGATTTTGTTCCAGCCTCTTCTGGGGCTAGCATGCTTTTAAATACAGCTCAATTATTAATCTTCCTCTTACTGGACTGTTGCTTATCCTTTCTTGCTCTATAGAGTAGTCTTTCCACTCACTTGCCGTATGACTTATACTTGCTTTCTATTCTGTATAGTGTGTTCTGTGCCTCCTGGTCTGTATAATTCAAAGCAACAAATATTGATCTTCATTTCCACTTTGGACTGCCCAGTTATCTCCAGTTCCATCTCATTCATCCATTTGTAAAGCTCCTGTCTTCCCCAACTCATTTTCCTTGTGATTAACTTCACAATAAGGACCCATTGCCACAGTCAAAGTCATTATCTGCCCTGGCTCCTCTCCCAGGCAGCTTTTCTACTCTGGCCTTTGTCTTCAGATCTTCCTGCCTGTCTCAGTGCCTCCAGGAAATCTCCAACTTTATCCTTTGTTCTGCTGAGAAAAAAAAAAAAAAAATGGCCCCAAGGTGGCCAGACACTAGTAAACAAAAAAAAAACAAAAAAACAAAAAAACAAAAAACAAAAACAAAAAAACCCTTGAACTCAGAGACAGAAGTAGAAATACCAACAAATTCTTAATGGCAATATGATCATAATTATTGATGTGATTGTTTGGAGCGTCTAGCGGGGAAATACAGCTACTCCTATACCCTTGGCCAAGGAAATAGTTCTCTGTTGGTGGGGGGGGGTCCTCTTTGATCTAGCATGCAGCTTCAGGGGGATGCACAGGAAGCAGTGAGGAGGAAAGGGACACTCACCTGGCCAGCCAGATCAGCCAAACCATCCCTGGTAAACAATGAGGTAACAGATGTCACAGCCAGATCACTCTGTGATATATCAACTTGACTTTAGCAAGGATGTCCTAGCAGGTTAGTAAAGTTCTGGGTGCATCTTTGGATGATGGATGTGTGGACCAAATTGAATGGGGAAGACCCACGGTGGATATGGGTGGCAGCAATCAATAGGTTTGGAATTTGGATGGAAGAAAAAGGGAAAGAAGGGAATGTTCCTTCTTTGGAGGAGCTCTAATCTGCCCCATCAGCTTCAGACATCAGACTCCAGTCTCTTCGGCCTTGCAGCATGGAACCTTCAGCCTTCCAGTGCTGACTCTTTGCCCTTTCAACACAGACACACACTGGTGGCTCTACAGTGGGTTTTCAGGCCTTCAAATTCCCATTTCTAGTGGATTCTGTAGCTATGTAGCATGAGGACAGCCACTTAGGATTCTTCTGCCTCTACTCCCATGATGACTATGTGACTCCTCTGCTTCTGATCTTGTAAGCCTACCTAAGAGAGTGGACCCTTGACTTACTCTATGTCCAGATGTCCCCCAAAGTCTCACACAGTCATAGGGTTTTTTTCAAAGGTGGCTGAATCTATAATGGGTGATTGATTCATAGTGCAATGCTGGGATTAAGGGTACTGAAATTAAGGGGGTGATTGTTTGATCAGTGTACTGATTGGATTGACACCACCCTACTCCCAGTAGACTTGATACAATGTAAGGGACAGAAAGAGGCCGGTCTCTTTCTCTCTTTCATTGTTTTGTCTGTCTTCTGCCACCATGAACTGTTGTACCTTTGCCATGTGCAGCCCTGCCTTGGAGTCAGCCAATTGTGGACTAAAACCTCTGAAATTAATTTACTCTCTAGGGCTGATTGTAACTCAAGTTTGTTGTAAGTCAAGACTATTTTTTATAAGAAATAATGCATTTTAAACCTCCTAAATCACCCTCTAAATAAGCTTTTGACTCCGTAACCGGCTCGGCCTGTGGTGCAGTAGTCGCCATGTTGTCGGTCGCCGCCCGCTCGGGCCCGTTCGCGCCCGTCCTCTCGGCCACGTCCCGCGGGGTGGTGGGCGCGCTGAGGCCCTTGGTACAGGCTTCGGTGCCCGCCACCCCGGAGCCGCTGGTGCTGGACGTGAAGCGACCTTTCCTGTGCAGTGAGTCCCT